GCTTATTCAGAACATTTTGTCTATGTGTTTTACCTTTAGAAATACACAAAATTCTGATCCGTCTATGTCCCTTAATCACGTTTTTATCCGTCCTTCTATCGATACCCTCTTGTCCTTGCTGTGTTACGGTGGCACTGGTGCCTATATCCAGCTGGCATTGAGCGAGAGCTTGGGTACACCCAAGAAAGGTCTGCAGTCCATCAATTCGGAGACACACAGGACAAACAACCATGCACAAACACACTCATATCTAATTTAGAGAGAACTATTAATCTAACGGTCATGTTTTAGACTGCGGGATGAAGGTGGAATCCTGTGGGAGATCCAAAAGGTCCATGGGGAAAATATACAAATTCTATTTGGTAAGCTTCAAGTCCCTAGGATTCAAATCTTGCAGTTTCTTACACAAGGCAGCTTTCAGCACTTTTTCCTCAAAAATCACTGAGCTGATGCAAAATCATTAAATTGACAAACATATAAAGTGAATGAAATAAAGGTGAATCAACATTGACTTGAATGAATTACCTAGGAAAATAATTAGAGTAATCTTCTCCCGAGGCCCAGACACTGGTGGTGGAATAAGTAAGAGGGTGAGTGGAACTGATCATAATCTGAGAGTGAGGGAGGAGATGGGGTGGAGGTGGGTGAAAGTTTGCTTGTGTGTGGGAGAGAGAAGCTAGACCAGGAGCTAAATGAAGGGGATCTTGAAAGATGTCTGGGTTCAGAGGAGGTGTGGTCCTGGGATGAATGGCTTAAGCTGGAAGAACAAAAACTAATCACTCTATAAGTCAGGGGTAGGGAAATCCAGTTCCAGAGACCGGGTATCTTGCAACTTTTAGATGTGCCTTTGGTTCAACGCACCTGAATCAAGTAATTTGATGATTGACAGGACTCCAGAGGAACTGACCAGCTATTTGATTCAGGAACTGAGCCATTTGATTCAGGTGCACTGGACCAAGAATTGATCAAAAAGATGCAGGGTACACAGGAATATGTGATACAAAAAGTCATGGAAACAATCTGGGAACTTGTAAGGGTAAGAACACCAATCACTATGTTGTGTCCTTAGTTTGCTACTGAAGGGATGGTGCAATTCAAAAGATACATGGTGTCATGTAAAAATAATATCAAATGCAACTATATAGTGGTTGTGGCTTTTTAGGTGAGTGTCCAAACATCTAATGGATGCAAAAGTAGTGGACTCAAAATTTCCCATGGTGCACCTTGAAAAGAAGTGATCGTCTATGGTCACTAGATAAGCAGATATATCCAAGAATGCTTTGGAGCAAAACGTAGTGATCATCTGACTGAATGGTCAGTTAACTAAGTCCACCATATAGTCCCTGCTCTATATAATGATTAAGGGATTGAGACTTAGGGGTTAAGGCAGACGTTCAAACAGTCTGTGTACAACTAAATTGATCACAAATTATGTGAACTAAACCAAGTTCTATGTTCTAGAATGGCTATTGCAAAATTGGGTTTACCTCAGGGTGAACTTCCTACGAAAAGGTGAAGCTTGTGAAAGGATAATTAAAAAAACGTTATTTTCAAAGCCATTCTTTTTAAAACGGCAGATCAAAGTCAAGTAAACATATCTTCATTGTAGCTGAATAACAACGATTTTGCCAGAACAGTATCTGGTAGTGAAACACCTTTACAACAAGTGATATTCAGTGAAATATTAAAAATGACACTTGAGTAACCTTTAAAAATACAACTAATTAACTAAAAAATGTAGCAGACAGAGATAAAGTCCTCACGTGTATTTAGTATTCTTCTAATATAGTTAGCCCTTCAATTATTTTTCTTCCTATTTGAACAAGAGAACCTGAGGGGGAGTTTTCACAGGCATGAATTATTCATGTGGATTAACTTACCAATTGTCAGATTTTTACTGCTGGACAGAAAAAAAAGAATACTTCATAGAAATCACTCCTAAACTCAAAGCCTGCCTTCTATACAGTTCATTTGACACTGTAGCCATTTTTGCTCATTATTTCTTTGTGGCCCTCCGTCCCTCCAACTCTATCTCACTCCTATCTTTGGTGCTCACTCGACCATGAGACGAGAGGATGACTCGTGGTGTGCTGTAAATTTCATCTTTGTCAAGCCAATCACTTCTGGCTGCAGCTCAAGGGGGGACATCTGCTTGTGGGAGGGAATTTAGTCTTTGGTCGATGACTGCTTTACCGTCAGCAAAAACAGAGTCTGTCTATGAAAGACAAAGGTAACTGTTAGTGGCTGCAATATTAACAGTCACTCCAACACCATAAGAGTGTAGGTCTGAAGTCTGAGCATATACGCTGACTTTTCAAGTGAAATGCTTTCTTTTGCACTCTATTGAGACGCCTGGGGGGTTTCTTGCTCAATCTAACAGAATGGACAAATAACATTACTGATCTGTGCTTAGTGCATTAACGTAAAGGTTACTGTATCTTTTCCACCCATGCCTCAGGCAGATGTACTTAACTCTAAATAGCCAATTTGCTATTGTTAACAACATGCCACACTCCACCCTCAGGATAACACTATGAACAAAAGGGCAACAAATAGCTCCTATTTCAAGAGGGCAGGTTATTACAGGGCATTAAACCAGGGCCCACACAGACATTGTTAGTGGGCACTTAACCATCTGTACACAAACCACCAGTGGAACGCATCTGAACATTAGTCATAAAGCCACACCTCATCTCCATATTGACCTCCATGAAAAGAAGTGTCCTTTCTAGCCCATTCAAGCATACAGGCAGCATTCATAAAACCCTTCCTCACTTTAAACCATGACCCCCAAGAAAGACGTGCTGTCACAAAGTGTTCTGGGCCGCAGAGAAAACCTGACTGTGGAATATCAAAAGCTCCCGTCTGTCCACTACTCTCTTCACTCTCCTAGTTTTCCCCACTCTGATGTCACGTGAAGGGTATGTCCTGCAAGGCCAATGATTTAGTCTGACTGAGGACTCCAGGAAATGAACAGGTCACCCTAGAGTCCCACTGTCTGACGGGCAATAAAGCTTGTCATTGAAGTGTGAGCAGAATGCAACAAGTCCACTGCGATGTCATTTAGATGAGAAACAAAGTGAACTAAGAATTATATTCAAAGAATACTCTAAGAATGTGTTAAGAATTTAGATGGAAAATTATTTATAAGCCATAGTAATGTATCCACTAAGATAACGCCATGGATGCCTTTGTAGGGATGGGGGAGATCTGCTCCATCAAAAGGAAGCTGAAATGTGTACAGCTTTTTTTTATTTCAAAACACATTGCAAATATCCAATGATCTTCTCTCATTATTAAGAGTAATTACCTAATAAAACCTAAGAAAAAAACCCCCAAAGTAATGCATAATTATACAATGGAATAAAATGACTCATGGTTAACACAAGATTAAATTTAAGGCATGTATTTGTATACAAATAAATAGTTAACAATGAACATCATGATACCAAGGGACAGTTAGGAATAAAGTTGTGAAGAAATTTAAAGAAGGATTTTTATTAATTAAAAGAATATCCAAAATTTAAACATCTTACTGAGATGTCTAATTAATCTTTCTTAGAAATGTAAAGACTATGCTAAATCGAAAACCTAAGAGGATATTAACCTCCGACTAAACTTACACACAAGCAAAGAAGAGGAATGAACAGTAGAGTAAAAATGAAAGCCATTATTAAAAGTAATCCACAAGAAGATCCACTTATTATATTGTATGGGAAATGGCAAACACTGAGAAGAGGGTTGTCTGAATGTAACTTTTTATGCTACAGTATTTCCAAAATGCCATGTCTGGCAGAAAACCAACTTAAAGAAATACCCAGAATACAACATCACTCTGTCTAGATACTTTTCTTAATCAGGGCTAGAGAAGCAAGTCCCAGTTAATGCAACATACTGACAAGGGTACCCCTCACATCAGTATTTGACCCGCAGGGTAAATGACAGTGTATCACGGGACACGCAACAAAAAACGTTTAAGTTTAGCCTGCAAAGTTACTATGGTAGCTTTAGAACTGTATGGTGACATGAATACTACTGTTTCTTTAGGTTTAGGGTAATGTATGGGTTAGTAGTACGCTTTTACTTCAAAGCTCATGGAAACAGTGTTTGAAGTTCCTGCTACAGCCTATCATGAACACCGCATATCAGTTACTGATGAGAGGGGTCTTCCCATCACGTCAGTATCTGACGCGCGGAGGGACTTGACCAAGTGTCAATATCTGACGAGTTCAGAGTGAAACTGTATTGGATGATAGGAAGATATATCATGCATAGATAAATGGTGGAAGAAAACTCTGTCTGTAAAAGACTAGTGACCAGAGTGGAGGTGCAACTTCCAGCGGAACAGCTGCCACAAACATACAACCAGTAGTTAAGATGAATGGCTTAGATCTGAAAAACTCAAGTTGATAACAGTGATGCCCATACATACAACTCTGTCCTGCATGGTTTAGGTGTTTTCTTGCTGTCAAAAACCTGACATATAAATTAGTAATTATTATTCATCTGCGGCACTTGATGACTACTGAGGAGGTCATGCAGTTGAATTGAACTTGATATGACAGAACAGAGACACTTCTACAACAGTATAGGGCGGAACTAAATGAGTACCATGGTTAGGAACCACTATGGTGGAATGGTTCAGTCCAAGTCTAGACCAATGGAGAGCGTTACATCCAATAGAATAGCACTGACAAGCACTATAATTTGTGATGATGTACCAATGACAGAGGAAGAGCTATTTTTGCAAAATGGAAGAATATTCTAGAAAGTGTTGTTTCTAGGAGGTAAGAATGGAAGCTGATTGAATGCATGCCACACTTCTGAGATTAATATGAAACAAAAAAATAAATAAATAAACACATTTATTGCCACTATTATGCACCACCAAGTTTTGGTGTAGCACATAAATACAACTGTCCCAATGAATGAATGCTGCCTTTACTAACTGGTTTATAAATAGAAATCATGCGTCGGGCATAGAATATAAGTAATTTTACCTGGTTCTTCAAATCCAACTTGGGGCATGGACGTCCACCATTAAACGCTTTCTCCCTGAGCCACTTGGATCTCATTTTCAGCCCACTCCCACAGGAGGAACTGCAGGCTGTCCAGGAAGACCATTCACTGAGTTTACAGTCGAGGGGGCAAGGAATATGACAAATCTCGACGATGTGGCCTAAAATTGAACATTAGGAAAACAATGAGACCTGATTTAGAGCAAGAATAGTAGGAGACAAAGGAAAGATGAATGGAAAAAAGGAAAAGACACAAAAATAGAAGGTGGGATACAGAAAACTAAAAATACATGTTTTTCCAGATTTTTATTTTTTGTTTTCATTCATTATCAGTTCATATTATATTCAAATTGAGGTCAATATTTCCCAGACCCTGGAATCTTGTTCCCTATATTATTAGTATCTCAGTGAACACATATTAACACAGATAGTTTAATAAACAAAATGCCTAGCTGGAACTAGCAGACTTTGATATTGACTCATCATTTGGAAAAGAAAAAAAAAAGGATACCTTCAATAAAAGAAAAAAACAAAACAACATAAGCATTAATATTTTCAATAAATTTATACCTGAATCTGTACAGAGTGTTGGGTTAACCAGGTGTCCTTGCTGGTCAATGCAAGCCACAGCTCTGTAGCGAAGACCTTGGCCACACTCCTTTACCTCTTGCTGCTTCATCCAGCCCTGCAGCGAAACTGGAGAATTTGGAAGGATGCACGCAGACCAATTCCCAACTGGCTGAGATAAAAACTGATTACAGGGACAAGTCTCGTTCTCTTCCAGCGGGTACAAATCCTCATTCAGGCAATGCTCCTTCTTTTTGCTACGGCCTAAGCAGAAGACAAACAAAGCAATGAAAATCTATGAACATAAGGCCAACATTAACACTTGAATTGAGTAAGAAAACATTGTCCCTTGTAGAAAAAGAGGGTAGAATGTTGAATGCATTAACATTTCATTTATTTTCGAGTTACGTAGCATGCATTGATAAATAGGTAGGAAACAGATTTTCAAAAGGGAAAAACAATGATAAAACTGAAATTAAATATTTACAACAATTTAAATTACAACAACTTGTGTTGCTAATTTATTTATACTCATACATTCTTAATCTTACTGAGTGGGCAGCTGAGACTAGAATACACATTAGCAACTTATTGAGCATGAATTGTTGATTTAAAGTATGGCCACTGTGGTGAATATGTGATCCCCAATGGTTCAACAACTTCTTCCCAACTAATATTTCCACAATGACCGCCCCCCCCACCCCCAACCCCAACCCCCACCCCCCCAGTTGTATATAATTGGAAAATACTCACTATGTTGATAATCACTTAATCAACAATTGCATCTGACTCTACTAATTCCTAAATTGAACCACATCTTACAGTACTATATCTATCAAAACATTTCAGGGCTACACTTCATGTTTGTTTGAGAAATCTTAACAAAACTAAACTAAAAGGAAAAAACAATTGCATCAGCATCTAAAAAAATAGAGAGATTTGTTTGATTAAGTCGCCGTTAAATGTCCATCAAATTGGATTTGAGTTGTTTTTTTCTGTAATTAGACAGATGTTTAAGTGTACGTGTGTTTATTGTTTTTTCTATGTGAATAAAGCTATTTTAGTCACTCATAACACAGCAAGAGGTTTTTCAGTTTATTCATTTATCAACTTTCTTGAAATCCGTATTGCCTGAAACTTTATTTTGCGCAGGAGAGGCAGAATAAATGCATTCCAAATCAGTTTAAAGTGCATCATAATCAGCTGAAAGAAAGCATGTCTTCATTTTGTGTGATCCCTAAATAACCTGAGGGAATGACTGGTTTTGTACAAAAGCATTTTAAGTTTTAATTTTCAATTTATGTTCAGGCCCCAAAAGGCACATCTCTGCTTCTTTTTGTTTTATCACTATATTAGAAAAAGTCGGAACTACAGATTCTAAAAGAAATACTGGTCTATTTTCATTTTTCTGTTACTGATCATTTTTTATTTTTGTCATGGGAGTGGTTTTTTTTTCTGTCAAAAAAAATCACACTTAATGAAAATTTGGAGATCTGACATATTTCACAATAGGCAAAAAAAAATAAAAATAAAAGACAGTAGATAGATTTGGTTTGAATTAATATTTTTGGTGCCTGTTCCTCTCTTCTTTTTCATCTCTCCCACAAGGAGCAGTCACTCTTTAATAGTTAATATCATCAAAGTTTTCATTGTGAGTAATGATTTGGGGACCACTATGATCTACTAGTCTTGGATTACTGCATGCTTTTACATACAGTAATACATTAGGGCAGCTGTCTACATGCAAACAATATTTGCCCTTCATGCTCTCTTTTCATTCAAGCTATATGAAGATGTTGATTATAATTTCCTTGAACAACATTTCACTAGCTCTCATGGTCAAAAGTACCAGTAAAAGTATCAAACTGGGCTTCCTGGTCAACCAAGAAGAGACATTCATTGATAACTTTCATGCCACTCCATGCTGATTTTTAAAAAACATTGACCAAATATTGAGAATATATATTTGCATAGTAAATAAACACTTTTGATAGGGTTTGCATCTTATAATGGGATAGGTTTTTATTAGTATTGTGCAACATTCAATGCTTTTGGGACCCTGCTTTTTACTGTTCTTTTAAACTTAGTTTTGATAAATAAAATGTATAAAACTGCACATTTGCTTTAAAATGTATTTTACCTTTTTCAAATTTTCATCTGTCTTTTCTTTTTTTTTATTACACTGAAATGTGTTGCCATCAAATACATTTGAAATATTTCAATATTTCACAAAGTTCTGTGCTAAACAATTAATAAATAAAAAAAATTAAAAACTACTGTACTGAACTACTTCTAAAATGTTAAACTGTTGTCTCAAGAGGTTAAAGAATATTTTATAAGGGATTATCAAGATGTTTTAATAGTTTGGATTGTATGATTAGCCTTTTACTGTAGTTTCTTTTAATAGAGTTCAAAAGAGTTCCTTGGAACTATTATGGGTGACTTTTTTGTCTCTTCCTGATTTTTAAATCATAAACCGACCTCCAGTAAAGCAAACAAGGCCTGTTTAGCTTTATGCTGCACACTGCAAGTCTTGATGCTTATGATTTTTTTCTGAACTCCAACTATTTATATTGTGTTTTTGTGGATTAGTGAGTGCAGTTCTGAAGAGAAGTCCATATGAATAAATAGTCACATCCATGATGTTAAGGTGAAAGTCCAATGAAATATAAAATGACCGTTCTGGCTGCAGATACTGGGATACATATCTGATATAGTACAGTATGTGGGAATGGCACCCTTTTTTTTTTTAAATATATATATTTATAAAAAAAGATAATGTAGGATATGAGTCGCATATGGGCAAAAAGCAAGATTTGGGTCCCTTTGCCTGCAGTATGAATGTAGCCTTAAATGCTGTTTTTGGTGCTTTTATTGTGAATGTATTTTTGCAGTTAGTTGACTATTGATGGCCAAAACTGTTCCATGTATTACTAAATGTCCAAATCCTCAATGATGGCTTTATACACTTTCACAAATAGAAAGGACATTAATTATTTTCCTTAATAACTTCTGTAGGAGCCATGTTTAAGCATATATTTTATTTTAGTTCCCATATCTATCCCCAAAATAAACCTTTTGTTTGATTAAAGGATAATGATGAAAAGACAAATTGTGTATTTTGAGATGGCTCTGCATTAGAGTTTGGAAATGCAATTGTATAACAACAATCAGAATGTTAAATGGAACACGGGTAACCAACAAATTGTGGAATTGAGATTATTTGAGGCTGCGTAAATGTACTATATTGACCTTTTCCTTAGATGGCTGCACACAGATAAACAGGGGCCTAAATGTTCAGACAGGGAACTGATTCTTTGGAACCTTTTTATTGACTTAGCCATGGATTTTAAAGGAAATTATAATGGATTATCCTGAAAAATAATTGTAAGATTAGCCACGTCAGAACAAAGTGTTGCTTGCTTGTATAATTATCAGTACAGCAATCATCTCAATGCCTACAGAAGGAGGTTCCTCTTCCTTATTTGTTCTTGTCTGGGTCTTAAAGACCAACTGCCCTTTATGCTTTTAATGTGTCCCTGCTTAAACACAAACAAATTAATTTGATGGGTCATTAACAGAAGTCAGCGCAACTAGATGACCTGCTGGGGAGATAATTTAATCATTCAGCTCTTTCAGACAAGAATGTTTTTATTTTGTTTGCCCTTTCTATGTGGGTTGTTTTTTGCTGTCAGCATTTACACTAGAAAATAAATGAAGGAATTAACAAACCAGCAGTGATTCTCAGCTGGTACTGAAGCCCATTAGAGGCACACTTGAAGTATATTTATACCGGCTGCTACAACATAAATGACTCCACTGGCTCAAGGGTATCCTTCTCTCATGAAACACATAAGAAATGTACATCAACACAATCCCATTTAAAGGTTTTTGTGATAAATGACTCCATGTTAGAGCGATTATAAAAACATGTAGGCCAACTAATCAACCAATCATTAGATTGTAAAGCAGTTAGAAATGAACAAAAGGATTTCATTGGAATCAATCAGGAAAATGGTACACACAAGTCTACAGCACCATATTATGTAACAGCACAGTACACGCACTGAAAAAATCTCATTACTAAACAGAATATTTTCCATAAATTAACTGCAAGAAGACAGAATTGGTTAGGGGTTATCAAGAGAAGGGCAGTAAGAATACTGGAGTTGCAGCAAATTCTTCTGAGTGCAGATTTTGTTTTGCATGTGACAACAAGGTCTTATATTATCCATATATCTGGATTGAGGATGACGATTAAGATATTTTTCTTCCCAAGAAAACATAAAGCTCTGGCTAATGTCACCCTTTATGTTGTGTCAATTGATGCAACAATAAACTTAAAACATTAGCCAATCTGACCCAGAACCTGTGGTTTTAGTCTACTTTTGTGGAATAGCCCAGTTAACGTTTAAAACTTAGAATAACAGAGCATATGTTGGGTTGTTTATAAATTATTGTTGAAAAGAGATTCCCTCACAATCTGACATAATTTAAGGATATTTCTAGGGAAGAATGGGCAAAAGATTTCCAGTCAGGTTGTGGGATGTGGATAGACTTGTAACAATTAAAACTGATTGCTGAAACTAAATAAACAGATAGGTGAAAAATGTTCTTATTACTTTAGGCCTTTTTTTCGCTTTTCACTTAGTTTTGCACTGTTAGTTTTCAGTGGAACTGCAAATGATACAGTACATGTCAAATTAAAGATGGTTAAAGTTCTAAAATAATATTCCAAGATGTATTTTTGTCCTTTCCTATTTCCAGAGATGACTTATTTTTAAATCCAGAATAAAGTAGGGGAAAAAAACACAGTAACATTAAAATATTGTAACATAAAACATGCTTTGCTTTGTTTGAAAGTATTTTAACACAAATATATGTTGAACTAGAACTCTGCATTGCTGCATTTTTTTTTTTGCCTTAGGATCTACAGAATAAAACTCTTATAAATGCATAAAGATGACAGATACACTGGTTTATATTAATAAACATTCTTTGTTCAGTGACACACCAGGTCTTTAGGGCATTGTTAAGAAAACATTCAGCTGTCAACTCCACTTCATGTACTTGTCAATATTAGGTGAATAATTAATTTGACCCTCCCCTCTTGAAAGGTCTTTAGAGCAACAAAATTATGTAACTGGCTCGAATGGACTCCGAAACATCACAATATTTTTGCCATACTGCCATTTCTTTTTGTCATATTGTAATCATACATTGCTAGTCTCAAAACACTCCCTCACAAACATGCCAAGGGGGAA